TGGCGCTGGTCGTCAGTTCTGGCCACTCTCTCCGACTACCGAGTCTCTCTCGCTACCTGACTACAGACCACTCTATGACAACAGCTAAACAACAAAATCTCTCCTGCTTGAAAGCAGCACAACTCGCGGTACTGCAAAAAAACACAAAAATGAGGTTGATGGAGGAACGGCCGGTTTATGTACCGTTGCCAAACACGTCAAGTGACGTCAGGTGATTTAATGCGCATGCTCGTGTCAATGAGAAAATGTGAGAAAAGGGGCGGGTAGGTAATATCGTCACGTTCTCGTCGCTGGCGGCGTTCAAGGGGTAGTCACTCACGGTCCCGCCGTGGAAGCGTTTAAGACCGGGATCAAAATCGGATCAAACGATCAAGACAGTTTTTCAGGCACGATCAAGCAATCAAGGAACTTCTCCGCTACGGTGAACATCAAGATCAACGCCCCTAATTAAACGCGCACGAGTATTAGTCTGCGCGTGCGCATTATACAAACCTTGAACTTTGAACTCAGCACGGGAGCCGACGCAGTGGCTCTGAGCGTGAGGGATGATCGTAGGAGATGGCTGTCGCTGACACTGAGCGAGTCGTTGTTCACCTGCACTTCATATCAAACAAATAAAGTGTATCTCTCTTTATCACCAGCTCTTTGCCTTTGCTCTATCTGTCAAAAAAGCATGCGCAGCGCGAACGCTGGCCAGTACCGTTACACCGCGGGTCAAGGGTCAAAACTAGTTGCGATAGATCATCAAAGGATCAAGTACACATACGGAACGAGATCAAGCGATCAAGGCCGTATTCTGAGGAGCAAAAATTTTGCTCCCGGTCGTAAACGCTTCCACGGTGGGACCGTGAGTGACTACCCCTTGGCGTTCCTAGTCCTCGTCGTCTTCCTGCGGGGCCTCTACCTCACCGTTTCCAGTTACTTGTTGCGAGACGCAGGACGAAGATCCTCCGTCCGCTATCCGCGTAAGGACTCTCGTCTTTGTCCCGATATCGTCTGGGCCTGCACAACCCTCACCCACAAGTAGGTGTGGGCAGCTATTACACCTTCGAAGAGAGAGAGTGTGTGTGAAAGGGAGAAGGGCGGGGTTAGGCGAGGAAGGAGAGTAATAGGACGAGAGTAAGTTACAAGGTAAGGGAGAGAAGGATAAGAACCTGCCTGTATGGTCTCCCCATTTTCAATGTCACTGCATTTTCAATATCACTGACACACACAATGGATTTGTACCATAACAATACCAACAAGCCACCTTTTGAAATGCAGTAAATCGACACAAATCACGTTAAGTTCGTAAACATGGTGTATAGATGCCATTTTTGAGAAATTCATTCTCTGACACACGTGTAAATTTGCCCTTATTTCTGTGAGTGCAGGTGCAGACCTCCACTGTTGTGGGGAGCCAGTGGTCATATCCAGACGGCCTACAACGTCCTCGTGGGCCACGTCTTTGTCCCATCTCCCGTGGGAGATAGACAGTCTCTCTCCACTCCCGATGGGTGCACTGTGACCAATGACCTCTACCAGCCACAGCACCCCACCTCCTCCTCTCTTTTCTTCCTCCTCTGCCCTGGTATGTGTTCATGATACACACGACACCACACATTTGTATGAGAGTTTGTGTCAAGCATTTTAAATGCATGTGTATCATGTGTCCATGAGATGTAATAGAAATTCTTCTGTGCTATGTTGGATGGCCTGTCATACCCATTTCAAGTTGCATGTGACTTAATCTCATAGAGTTGCATTGTGTATCGTAGCCTTTGCACATTAGAAACCTTGTGTGGTTGTAAGGTATGATATGCTAGAGCTTTGAGTAAGCCTGTCCTTGCTGAAGACATGCAGGAATCTCAATCTCTCTCACTATTATTTTAGGCATAGGAAACCACAGCGAGACGTTCTACATCAGATCATTTGTCCACTACCTACTGAGCAATGGACATAATGTGGTAGTTCTCAACCATGTGGGTACTCTCAGAGATGTTCATGTCACTGGGAACAGGCTATTCACTTATGCTAAGGTGAGGTAATGGCAATCGGATAAGATTGGAACCCCTTTAATTCATACACTAATGGGACAGAAGAAATTGAGCATACATGTGTATTAAACTTGTGGGAGGTGTCCTTTTCTAGGGGTTAAATTGCGTGCAAGAGCAGTGTCGTGTTAACCCTAAGCAAGCCATGGGCATATACATATATGGGGTATTTTTTTGGTGGTAATAAACTGACGCATTCCGATGACCAAACGTTTCTTCGCCACACCTGACACTAGGTGGGAAAAAGGGGGAGTGACTGAGGGAGATAGGGTGGTAAATGTTATTCAAGACCAAAATAACGCCACAGCAAATACCATTGAGGAAAGTCACTTTGTGAATACTGACTCTTATCACAGTCAGTTAGGGATTAGCAATGAGAGTGACAAACAAGTTGTAAATATCATCTCAAAGTGCACGAACCACACACATGCAAAACCATAAGTGTGATGTACAAAAGGACAAATGCGACTGACATGCACAAAACACTGCCTTCTCTCCACACAGTGAGTCGCGAAACATAATATTCACACAACAACACACACTGAATAGGATATAGGTGATGGAATAACACGAAGCCAACTATAACTGAGAAACAAAAATTTTGATACTCTAGTGTACAATTTCCAATAGTCATTGTCCCCAGCTGTGGCTTGTGGCTGTACAATAATAAGCACATAAATGTTGGCATTGACGAATCGGTATCAAAACTCTGAATACAGCAAAGAAATTTATACAAAGCTGAATTGGGGGTGTTTTCTTGGCGGAGGGAGGGAGGGTAATCTTAGCACACCTAATGACATTCACAGTGCTAAATTGGCTTTAATTTCGAAACTCTGTGCACAGCGCATACACATGAAGCCTGAAGTTTGACTAGGGTGCTGGAAGGCAAAGAGGCCGATGGGATTTGCCACAAATCCAGCGACGGAGATGAGCATTAGCCGATGGTGATTGATTATGTACATTATGTGTATTATATATACACACAACACCACACATTTGTGTGAAGCAGTTTCAAGTGCTTTTCATTAGAAAACGTTTAGTAGTAACTCACATTGTGCTTACTAAGTGACTGCTGTGTCATTACCCTGCGCAACTTGTACATTTTACTCACACTCATTCATCAGATCAGAGCACACGAGCGTCAGAAGCAGTTGGAGAGAGAGTATCGTCAGAGAGAGAGATAGAGAGAGAGATAGTATTGTCAGAGAGAGAGAGAGATGGTGAGGAAGGAAAGAGAGAGGGTGAGGGAGGAGGAGAGAGAGAGGCTGAAAAGAATGGCCAGAGATATCTCCAACCAGTTCAACGGTGGTCACCCACCGAGGACTGAGCGAAGGACACATGAAGATGTGCCATGTCCATTGTGTGTCATAATTATCATCTTTGGTTGTTTCCCCATGTTACTGCCACAAAAGATGCTGATATGGGGAAACAATAATGATTTACATCAAGTAGGGTGTGAATGTGTGGCAAATAGTGAGTTAACTCTCTCCCCACCACGTGCCAGACCTATACACAATGCCCATTACAGTATCTCCTTCTCTGAAAACTGTATCCTGGAAACTGACTCTGTGCTTTATTCTGTATGTTTTTACAAATGAACTGTGAGTTAACCAATTACTACTTATTCTCAGGTTGAATCAGTTATGGACATTGCTTCCGTCCGCGAAGATCTTATACAATCGTCTGACGAGCAGGGACTTACCCCTCTGCCCGATATCCCGTCACTGGTGTTGCCCGTGGTAACGCACCTGGTGCCGCGACTTCTCAAAGTGGCAGAGTTTCTGGCAACCTTTGCGGAGGTTTAGAAACTGAAGACCAAGCCGACAGCTGGTAACACAGTTAGTGTGTAGCCATATTATACTTACTGTTCCGTGAATGTTTTTTCCTGAAGTTTTTGGGAGAGGGGACGGACAAGCACTTGATATTTTCATTTGTCTAAGTGTTCTTTTTCTCGCTATGGAACCTCCGAATAATGGCGACACGTTGGGATTAGGGGGGTTGTCCTCTCTAGAACAATAGAAATTTTAGTGCTGTTTTTGAGTTAGAGATTTTGTCTATGGTGTGCTCTATTTGGAGTGTCCTTTATCGGAGGTTCTACTTTAGTGTTTCCATCACTGTTCTATGTTACAGACTCGCTGGCGGCCCCGTTGACCTCTGACCCTAGACCAGAGGAGATGTATAGCAGTCTCCTACGTGTCATTGCTACCTCTTCCCTCCACAGTCAGCTGAGGACTAGGGTCAAAGGTCGTGGGGTGGAGTGGTAGATACTGGCAGTTGACTTTCTCCACACTCAAGGAATTGATGTTAGTCTCTCTACTGATGTGCTGACAGCTCTACTTACTCCCTACTTCGTAACTGTATGAGTCAACTGAAAGTCAACTTGTGTTGAGAAATTTTGCAAACACACAAGTAGTAGTCGGCAGGCGTGGGAGACTACATTTTGTGAAAGTACCGTTACAATGTCTTTGCGCCATGCATGTACATGTGTAATATGAGGTTGGCTTTAAATGGAATACCCCACAAACATTACCATTTTACTTGTATGATATACAGGGTGGCAGAATGTACACTCCAAAAGAGTTTTGTGTTTGATATAATTATATATAAACAGGTAAAGCCACTGGTAGATGAGAAGAAGGAAGATAAATCCTTGCAGCAGGAATACAGACTGTCTATTCTTGAACAGCTCACAACTGTGGCTCTGGACATGGTGAGAAATCTCCCTCTTGCCTCGTAAGGCGCTATACACTTTGTGTGTGTGTTTCACTCCAAAGCCTGATGTTAGCACTGCAATCGAAGTAGCCATGGTTACGGCATACCAGGCGAAGGTGGAGGAGCGTGTCAGAGAGCGGGAGAGGACAAAGTCCATCAGGTAACCCCACCACTTGTGAATGTCACTTCATTTCTCTTGCCTTAACACCTCCTTCCTCTCCTCAATTCTCATTCACTCTCCTTCTCTGACCTTATCTCTCTCCTCTCTCTATGTAGTTGAACGTAAATAGTTAAAGGGAATGTGGCAGTACATGAGGGCTAAATTTAGAAATGTTACTAAAGATAGAACAAAGCACTAGTGGCACAGTGAAAGAATGCAATTGATTTCTTTTTTAGTAACATATTTAGCCCTTATTATACTGCCACGTTCCATATAAATGTAGTTAACGGCGGGAGCCTGGTCCGGGGCGCATGCACACGTCCAGGGCACAATATCGACCACGTGGCAGGCAGTTGAGTGTTCTGACGGTTTCTAGCAACACTGCAGCTCTTTTCGATGTGTGTCAGCGGAGAGAGTTGATTAGATGTAGTAGATGGTTCCTTCTCTCTCTCCTTCCCTACCTCGCTTGTCATCCACACCTCCCTTTCTCTCCTTTCTTCTTGTCTTTATTTCTCACTCTTGGTCTTTCTTCACTGTCTTGTCTAACCTTCTCATTTTCCTCTCTTCATCTATATAATAATATATACAGAGATAATATAATATTATCTTCCTCCTCTTATCTCTGTATATATTATTATATTATATTTCTTTTCTTGCAATATTCTTCCTCCCTGGTAGTGAGGATCTCCGAGGTCTGGCGTCTGTCAAAGCAGAAGAGGAGGGAGATCGTGGAGCAACTAGCAGCCATCCGGAGAGATTCTTATGTTAGAATATGATATACTCACCGTTAAGAACGGTTCACAATACGTCACAACAGTTATCGTGAATAACCAGTAATTCTGTGAAGAGTGTGTTGTGTTTGGCTCTCTGTGACTGTGTTGTGAACCAGGCTTACCAGAATAAGACATGGTCTCTACTGTGCATTCTAGTTTTTTCAACTCCCGCGTAAGATCCTTTTCAAGGCCTTGTTTTTGCTCGTCCATATTATACCTTGTAATATCACATTTCGTGCGGAAAAATATTCAATCTCGGCATGAAATCGTACATATTTGTTCCCCGAGGATAACACTACGTACGTAACTTAATGTGTCATTGTTGGCCATTAGTTATGAGGATTTGTGTGTGTTGCTATTGTGTTTCAGGAGAGGGAGTACTCTAGTCTGGTTGTGGTTAGGAACACGTGTCTCGGAGAAGACAGACTGTCCAGGAGCTACTGGAGACTACAGGTACAGCTATTGATGTTTCCCTGTTGTTGAGCATGAGTCAAAAGTGAGGTATTCAAACAACACGCCAGACAGACAACGCTTTTTAACAAAGGAAAAAAGACCTGCCTTGGGTGGGACTGGAACCCATGACACTCTGCAGTCTAGGCAGAGCGCTCTACCAACTGAGCTGCTGGGGCAGAACACGTGATTAACCAGCAGGCACTCTTGCTTTTTTCTCATTCGTTCCACCCTCTCTCTCCCACTGTTTGCCTCTGCTCCATTTCCCCTCACAGAGTCTACCAGGAAGACTGTTGTCCTGTTGGTAATGATGGTGACTGCACCACTGAGTCTGGGGAGAAGTGGTTACTCGTTGGCTCTCACTCACTGCTTATCAGTCTAATGGTGAGTGAGGAGCCTGTGTCCACTGAACACACAGAGACTTGATGGTTACATACATGTACACTGGAACCCCTTTGATCTGTGGAGGCAGAAGAAAGTGCCAACACTAGCGACGTATCGTTATTTTAGGGGTGTCCTTATAGAAATCGGTCCAGCAATTCATCCACCCTGTCTTTTTCTGAATAATTGTACTCACATTGATACACTTCTCCACTCATTTCAGGAGGGACTGCAGTGTAAAGAACATGAACTGCTGTCAAATTTCAGAAAACTTTATTCTGTCATCACCAAATCGCTCCCCTCATGACAATGGCCACTCTTCCACCTGTTGCTTGCACATAACACAGGTTTTATTCCAAAAAGACCACATAACCTTATACTTACGTATACTTATGTGTATTGGCAAAATATATAGCACCAATACATAGTCTTAGGTACTCAGACCACTCGCAGGGTTTGGTTCGTGTTGGAGTGACTGTTTCTTCAAGTGATCCTGTTTGTACCATGCGGTTTGAGCCTATGTATGTATTTAGTACAGTACACATACAATACTATGGGACCTGGTTTTGTCAATGGAGTGACTCAAGACAAGATTGGGTCACATGACTATCACACCATAGGCATGTTGCATAATTCCCTGCATGCATATATACCAACTGACTATTATACTGCATACTACAGCTCCTAGTGGTGGAATGCTCACGGACAAACCACAGCAGTAACGAATATCGTTATTCGGAAGTGCCTCTGGACGCTTTGCGCATCACAGTAAACATGTGCTCCAAGAACTGACTGTGGCATTATATATAATATACAAAACACAGTATAGAGATGAGAAGAAAGTGAGTGTGATATAGAGACGAGAAGAAAGTGAGTGTGATATAAGGACGAGAAGAAAGTGAGTGTGGTATAGAGACGAGAAGAAAGTGAGTGTGGTATAGAGATGAGAAGAAAGTGAGTGTGGTATAGAGATGAGAAGAAAGTGAGTGTGGTATAGAGATGAGAAGAAAGTGAGTGCGGTATAGAGATGAGAAGACAGTGAGTGTGGGTACTAGAGATGAGAAGAAAGTGAGTGTGTATGAGATGAGAAGACAGTGAGTGTGGTCTGAGATTGCGAAGACAGTGAGTGCTGTCTAGACATGAGAAGAAAGTGAGTGCGGTATAGCAGATGAGAGCCGTTCGTGTCGGTATACGAGATGTCGACACGTGGGCAGTGCTGGTCTAGCGCTGCGACAGCCCGTGAGTGTGGTACTCGACTGCGCACGCCGTGCGTGTCGGTCATCGCGCTGCGCCGAACGTGGTGCTGGTATCGCGCTGGCCGCCCGTGCTCGCGGTATCAAGAGATGGAAGAAAGTGAGTGTCGGTATAGAGATGAGAAGTGTGGTGTACAAAACATGGGTGGTTACAATTTTGCGGCCTGGACTTTGTCAGCGAGAGCAAAAAGTTTGGTGTCTCTGAGAGCCTTGACCAGAGTCTCCCACGTCACGGGAAAGTCCCTTTTCCCTGAGCCACTCACCAGAATGTCTGCGAGAAATCCTCTCTGGTCTCCCCACGGTTTTTGTCTCGATGAGTCCACTTATCCCCCGTCTCGTCGTTGAGGAGGAAGATTCCAAATGTGGTGTGGCTTGTGGCAATTCCCTCGGGATTTCCAGACGAAGTAGCTCTGGCAGAGTGGGTCGACAGACACCATCACCTGCGAAGAAAGTGAGAGAGAGTACGACTAAAGGTAAGAGTCAGTCAATACATTAAGGGGTTAGATGTGTCACTCATCATGCGGAGGTAGGGAAGACTGTCTAAAAGAGGGCTCACCTGAGTGGTGCTCAGTGGGAGGAGAGAGGATAGCAGCTGTGGCAATAGTGAGGAGGTGTATGTAATACTCTTGATGACTGATAACAGTAGAAAAGAAAAACACAGTATCCAATGCTCTCGAAGAGGGACTCACCAGGACAGAGAGACAGGATGAGGAGCTGTGGAGACACTGGCAGTGGGTAGAGACAGATTTGCTGACTGTAGAGAGTAAAGTGTATGTGCAGCGGTTTGCAGGTCCATATACATATAAGGTGAATGTGGAATAAAGTGGTCAGCATGCTAAAGGACTCACCAGAGCGATGGTATGTAGAAGAGTACAGGAGAGAGAGGGAACAGAGGCCATAGTAGGAGACATGAAACCTCTGGCATAAGGGAACATGAATCAATATCAAAACAGGGCACATAGAA